ATCTTTTTTTCCTGGTAGTTTGGGAGTTGGGTTGTTCTGTGGTGCAGCCAGAAGCAATTTGTATGCAGCCACCTTGCTTTGAAGTAGAGCAGAGATCCTAGCATAGATGCAGCTTATTTTGTGTCATTTGGCTTCAGTGCTCAAAAGTGTTTCTGTGAAAGTCTGGTGTGCTCATATTGGACAGTGCTGTAAGCAAAACATCCCCATATCCCCATTTGCCTCTGTTTCTGGCTGCATGACTTCACTACTCATCATACCCTCCATGAGAAAAATTGATGTGACAAAAAATGAAACCAGTTTAAAAAATACAGATTAATTTCTAAGATGTTTTTAAATATAAGTGGGTCCTGGGAGAGCCTGACAGTCAAGGAATAGGATACAAGGGAGTGTATGGCATGGGGAACCTGGGAGCAAGAAAGAGAAAGGACAAACCCTGATAGGAAGAAAGAAGAGCAAGAGAGGAGGGAGCTGGGGAGAAGACCTTCCCTTTTGCTGAGCAGGAGTTATTGGATGAAATCAGCTGTCTGTACAAGTTTGAAAAATATATTTAATGAAAGCTTGGATTCACAAGCACACTTTCATTAGAAAGGCAGAATTTTTTACTTATTAAGTATTCAAGTAGAATTCCAGCTTCATTTATTTATATTTTAATGGGGTGAAGCAGTTCGTGGCACTTTACCTAGGATTTTATTACAGAAGTCATTTTGATATAGCAAAAGAGATAAATACAATGCTGTATACTAATTTCATGGTTTGCTGCATGTTTTTGTGTTGTCTCAGAAACATTAAGTGATGCATAATCTAACTCATTTTGTGAATGAATAGTTTTGTAAGAGCAAATTGTTAACATTTCTTCCCTCTGACTTTCAAGACTTATAGGGTGGTGGCAGAGCTCTGCTGAAGCTAATGGTGCCTCAGGCAGAGAAGAGGGTCTGCCTAATTAGATCTGTCTAAGATAACTAGTGCCTCCTGAAATTGCATAGGAGGAACATTAGCAAAACCAAGAACCTAAAGAAATGTTGTGTATACACCCTTCAGAATAATTAAGATAGCGTGAAGGTTCAGTAAAGAGTAGCCTGTGGCCTGTTATATTAGCACACTTGTTCCCTAATTTACCACACAGAGATGGAGCAGGATGTGTGGGAGTCAGCCTAACTATGGGTTTGCAATTTCTAAACAAGTGAAGTGTAAAGGAGTGTGCTCCTTAGGGAGCCTCCTCAGAATCTGGGCTTGGGTGAAGTATTTAGGGAACTTGCTCTGACCTCAGTTTGAGTTTTGCCTGGCATGTGTCATACAAATTTGGTATAATTTTCGTGCCCCCCACAATGTAAAAACTTTTTTTTTTTTTTTTTTTTTTGGATTCTATAACGCAAGTTTGAAATATGTAATTATGAAGAATTGTTCTTATTTTTGTAATTAAAAATACTCTTTTTCTGTGTGTATAGTTGTATATATTATTTACTATGGGCTCTTTCAAGTTGGAATTTCATGTTGTGTTAGTACAGGAATACTGTTCCTCCTCATTGTGGATCACATTCATCAGTACCTGTAAGAGTAAGTTTGGGGAATATTTTTTCTGTGAATGAAATACTCTGTATTCCACATGAAGGCAAGCATGGGATCCTTCTAGCATGTTTTCACGCAGCCTGTAAAGTTTTCACGTGAATCTTCCGTGGGAACCATTGACCCACCCACCTCTGCTGAGTCCTGTGTGTGCCACTGTTTCGGTTTAGTTTTTTTTGTTTGTTTGGTTGGGTTTTTTTTTAAGTAGCAGTAAAGCCCAGAACCTTTTGCTATGCTATGAAAGTGCACATTTTTCCAGAGCCATGCATATGAATCCTTTGAATGAAGAACACTTCACTGGTTCTCTTTAGCAGCTTTGTGTGTGGAATTGCATTGACATACACAAAGATGCAATAAAACAGAAACAAATCCAACAACAAAAACCAGATGCTGGATGTCTTCAATGACTTACTGTAGTACTGCATCAGAGCTCACTGTCCAGAGGAGAGTAAGCAGAAACTATTTTTGAAGTGACAGGCCAGAATAAAATAGTCTAACGCTCTTCATTTTACTGATGCATCGCACGGAGGTCTAGAAGCCACATTAGAGAACTGTAATCCTTCATCAGGGCATTTGTTTGGTTGCCTAACATCTGTGGATTGTTAAGATAAGTTATTACACAGACCTGCTTTAGTTTAGATTAGTTTGGACCGCATCCCAGTATACTCAATCAGGATATAATTCCCGCATGCCGCTAAACTGCTTGCTCCACGTACTTCTCTAAAAATGTTTTTCAATATACAGTTTTGTCACTGAAACTCTTCTGTCACCTCAAGTTTTGATTTTTTTTTTCCTCTTAAAGAAAAGCTTTTTATTTTTCCTTTTGGACCGATTGTATCTCAAGGCAGCCGTAGCATTTGTTAATTCCTGAAGAGATTCCTAAGCAGGGATGGTAGTGTAGCTTCTATGTGAGTATAATGGAGATTTCTTACATGTATAATCTATGGTGATTGGTTTGTATGCTGTCCAAACTGCAGAGTTTAAAGCTCACTGTAAGCAAATGGTTTTGCATTTAAATGTCTAGTATTTCTTCTGTCAGTATTCTGTATTTTTCGGTGTCTATTTGTGCATTAGCTATTCCGATTTGTTTGCACCTCGTAATGTTTTGCATAAAAGTAATTACAGTATCAAAGCTGATTATGTAAATTAACAGTAACTTATTGAATTTTATTACATACTTTATACGTATTTTATATTATCAGAGACAAATTGTAAATGAAGTATATTACCATCTTTACGCATTTAAATGGGCTTGCATACATACACACACATGTAATTTAATTACAACATTTAAATTTTACTTTAGTATTCCTTATCCTTCCTTTAAACAAACTCTAGTTGATTAATTTTTTTATAAATACTACTTTCAACTTTTCTTGGAAACCGATAAAATACAGGTAATGGCATTTTTTTGTTACTGACCTTGGTTTATAGCACTGGCATAGATTTTATACACAAATACATGTGCATGCACACTCTTGCTGTCTGATAACAACTGTATCAGATTCTATAAAGGCATTATAAAATGTGGGGTTTTTTCCTTATAGTTTTGGTGGTTTGTTTGAATACCTGTAATAATAATCAGATAGACTAAAAGTCTATTCTCTTTAGAACAGATAGTCTGATAAACTGAACCTCTGGTTCATGAGGTGTACTAGATGGAGGAAATTAGATATTTTGGAATCAAATGGTTTTTTTCGATTGAAGGACTAGCATTTATTTTTGTCAAAATTACTATTCCTATTATCCTACTGAGAGCTATCTGTTTTTATCATAATATGTGTAGCTTTTGATTAAGGTTGGGGTTTTTCTAATTAAGATATTATTAAGTACATTATTGTCCTTCTTAAATAGAAGAAATACAGCAGTCATCTTTTGATAAAGGTATAACCCGGATCCAGAGTTGAATCCAGAGTTGGATGTCTTTTCTGTATGGTTCTGTCACACAGTGCAGACATGCATTTGGAAGTTCTGATGTAGTTTTCAAATCTAAACTGATAGTCTATTTTGGTGTGTTTTAAATAAATCTCAATTATTTTAAATATGTAAAATGCCTAAAGTTTTCATGGCCTTGTAAGCCATGCACTTCCTTCCCAGGCCAGAGAATAAGAGAGCTTGGTACCAAATGTTTGTCCTGTTGCAATTTCTTCCATGAAGTGATTTTTTTCTCTTCTTTTTAATTTTCATCTGTTGTATAATTTTGTGAATGTTGCATCATTCCTGTGTTTACACAAAATAATTTAAGTATATTTTGCCTTCTAACTTGTGTTATCCTTCTTACCCTTCATTACAATTTTACCCATTCTTTTATTCTTTCCATATGAAATTAAAAGATTTTCATTATGATTTTCCTTAATAATGATCAGCTTTGTTTCCTCTTATCTCTGTTTTTATTTCTGGCAAAAATCCTCTCTCTAGTGTGTTCTTCATTCATTTTGCCTTTTTTGTTCTACCTCAAAACTTGTTTTGTCTTTGTCTCAATTTTTTCTTAAATTTTCACACACTTTAAAGTCTTGATTAACTTTTTTATTTTTCTCTGGTGAGTTGATCCTGTACATTAGACTGTCTTATGTATATAGACTTGAAATATAGAGTCTTTCTTTCATGTATGTGATCCTGTTTATTTGCGTATAAGGAGTTTAAAAAAAAAAAAAATCCTAAGCACAACTGTCTATGTACACAGCTTAGTTGTGATTTCCAGGGACATGTTTGTTTATATGTTATTTACGGCTGTGACTTAAAGAGACGGTAAATGATAATTTCCAAGTAGTACAAAATATGGGACTTCTGTATTAATTTCATTGGTCTATTTAGTTGCTATTAGCAGATTTCTTTAGGTCTTACTTTACACCTCTGGTAAGTAGTTTCTATAGATGTAGCTAACACCATGCACAATACATGATTTGGTTTTTTTAAGGATAATGTTGAGTTATGTTATATGAGAAAATTTAATTAGAAAAAATACTGTGTCGGTTTTCTGTGGCAACGGAAGTTGAGTCAGCTGGGCAGGACTCAGTACTAACTGAGGTCCAAGTCCTGTTTACAGTCTGGTGGGCTTGTCTGTCCTGACAGTGATTAACACCAATGAAAACAGCCCACCCCACCCCCCAAGTTGCATCAGCACCAGCAGCAAGCATTGGTCATGTTGTCGGTGTCTGTTTAGAAGAGAGCTAGGGCTGGGCTGAGGGAGCAATTGTTACAGGTAGGACTGATGTATATTGACAACACATTTTGGAGAAGCTTGCATAGCATGTGCCTGTAGGATGCTTGGCTCTAGCCAGTGCAGTCAGTGCTTGGAGAAGCATGTTCTGGGTCCTGTCATGAGCACCAGCCTCACTAGTTCAGAGAGTGAGAGATCGTACCTGCTCTGTGATAGTGAGCATGCATTCCAGGGTTGAGAGGTAGTTGCGCTGACTCTTCTTGTTGTCTTCAACTAGGTTATGTGGGTATGCAATTTATGTCGAAAGCAACAAGAAATCCTAACGAAATCTGGAGCGTGGTTTTTTGGAAGTGGACCACAGCCTTCACCCAGCCAGGACGGAACGCTGAGTGATACAGCGACTGGTGGAAGATCGGATGCACCAAGGGAAAAGAAAGCAAGACTTCAAGAGCGATCGAGATCACAGACTCCCTTAAGTACAGCAGCTGCCTCATCACAGGAAATCTCTTCTTCCACTGTACACTCTGACCGCAGGAAAGGAGCAGAAATATCCCAGCCAGCTATGGGCCCGGACCAAAAGCAAGCTTCATCAAGATCTAGAAGTGAACCTCCAAAAGAGAGGTAATGCTTTCTGTCTTGGTAGAGCCTCAAAATTATAAATTCTAGTTCAGCTGCGCCTTGTGTGTGTTTAGAACTGTGCAAAAACAGAGAGTAAGTTGATTTAGTGACCAGGAAAGAATAAATTTTTGCGAGCAAATACATTATCTGATTTGTTCTGTGGAACAGAAATGATGGGAAAAAGGTATTTTAGGGATATTCCCATTTACTTCAATGCATTTGAGTGTACACTTTTAATATAGAATTGTAGGTTACTTATAAATTTTAAATTTGGCAGGTATTTTAAAGTTATTAAACAAAGAACAAGCCTTTAACTTTACTCGAATTTTTAAAGCCAGCACTCCCCCAAAAAATCCCCACCCAATCAATCAAAAACCAAAACCTGGAGTTCTATCAGTTATCCTCATGTGTCATCTTTTTATCAATGACAGTTCCAGTTTTATTATTAAAAATAATACAATTAAAATAGCTCATTTACACCTGCGAAGTTAACTTTCTTAAAGAACAGCAATGGTACCATCTTGAATTCAGAGCAGTTTGTATGCAAGAATAAAGCCAACTAGAAGCAAACTATTATAAATTCCTGAGCTGAATTCACAGTAATGAATGGATTGAGGAGTAGCAAACCAAGAGAGACTAATGTAATGAAGCCATTGCTGTTCTTTTGGTTGCTGACTGGCAGCTGGCAGAGCAGTTGAGGAGGGAACCTGTGGCAACGAAATGAGTCTGCTGTAGAAGATTTCATAGCTGTTGGAGCTGAAAATGGATGATGAGCAGTGGCTAGTAATTAACTGCTGAGATGAGATCTGTCTCTGGGTGAGATCTCTCTGGGTTTAACTGTATCAAAATTCAGGTTAGTGTTATGTATACATATGATGTAAACAAACACATGGTGCTCTTCCATAATTCATTTGATTTTTTCCCCCATGACACTGGAAGGCCCCCAGAGCAGTTGTAGGGAAGCAAAATGCTTTCTTTCCTGCTTTGCTTCCAAAAGTAAGATGGTTATCTTAATTATACAAAAAGTAGTGTTCTCTACTTGTCATTAAGTGTTCCAAATGAAGTCCTATAAAATATCTATCTATGGTAAGATAAGGTCTCATTTATTGCCAAAAACTCGAGAGGAACAGGAGATGGGAAAAAGGGATGTGAGTTCAATGTGGATGATGTCCAACATTGTTCTGTTATATGCTTCTGTGAAGATTTCTGTTGTGATCTTTGATATGTAACCCAAAGGCATATTAATTGTGGAAGGGAAGATTCAGTGCCACAAAACAAATCCTAGTGACTTTTTCCTGGTGTGAGTTGATCTCAAATGTCCTTTATAGCTGTGTTCATCCTTCTTCAAAATCAATGGATTCATATGTGAACTGGTAAACAAAAGGGCAACTGGAATGATGAGAGAAATAAAAATATGCGGCATAAGGGGATCTAACAATTCTTTGGTTTGCTTATTTTCCCAGAACAGATATGAAAGAAGAGAGAAAAAAATTTTCATGCAGCTTCATTATTCATTGTTTTGTACTTTGTATAGAGAAATAAAATTTTCATCCTCTTTTATTATTAGAGAAAGATTGCCATTAATTTATCTCAAATATTCAATTTTATTTTCATTATATGCTTATAAAATAGGCACTTCTTTTTAGAGTGACCTAGAAAAGTAGGTCAAATATTGTTTCTGGATATATTATCTTTTGCATTTTTTATATCCATAGTGCTTCTTTCTGTAATATTTGGTAGATACTCCATTTAGTGGTATTTATATCTGTACTGTCAGGTCACTCTTATTGTGTGGTAAGTCTGTAACTCTCATAACTCCTACCTGAAAAATGGAGAATATACTCCAGTACTTTGACATAGTGCTGCAGTTACTGCAGAGACAACTTTGAGTATTCCTACTTACAAGGGTAGTTTCTCTTTATTTGTATTTTTCCATGTTAATATTTTTATTTTAGTCATTAATTGGACCATACATAATTTATGTTTTTGTTTGCTATTGGAAAATAAAAGTAAGATGGAAGGATTATTGGGTTTAAATCATGCTAATGGATACAGTACTTTTCTGTTTTGCTTTAGCTTATCTTGATTTATAATCTATTTTCCATAACTGTGTATGCAAGTATTTCTATTTTCCAGTCAATCCTTCACATTACCGTACTCCTTTTCATTGTAGGAAGAAGGCGGTATTGGTTTCAGACCAGAATGGCAAAGGTTTAAAGAGTGAACGTAAGCGTGTGCCAAAATCCTCACTTCAAAAAGAAGGACCAACAGACGACAGGGAGCGCAAAGAGCGGCATGAAGGCAGAAGGCTGGAGAAAGGCAAGTCACAGGACTACCCAGACTTGCCAGAGAAACTTGAGGAGGGCAAAGTGCCTGATGATGAAAAACAAAGGAAGGAAGATGAATATCAAACTCGTTACAGGAGTGACCCCAATCTGGCAAGATACCCTGTAAAACCGCATCCTGAGGAACAGCAGATGCGCATGCATGCAAAAGTTTCTAAAGCACGACACGAGAGAAGACACAGTGATGTAGCTTTGCCACACACAGAAATGGAGGAAGCGGAGGTACCTGAGAATAAATTAGGAAAACGCTCACAATTACAGGGAACTCAGGACAGAAAATCTCTTGTGGAAACTCAGAGGTCGTACTCTATAGACAGAACAGGTGATGTAAGAATTTCTGTTTCTAAACAATTAACTAATCATAGCCCACCAACTCCCAGGCATAGTCCAGTTCCTATAGAACATGTAGAATACAAGAACCACGATTCCTTTATAAAACAGAGCCGCCTTGATCCTAGCTCTGCTATTCTCATGCGAAAAGCAAAGCGGGAGAAAATGGAGACCATGCTAAGGAATGATTCCCTTAGCTCTGACCAGTCGGAATCAGTGCGGCCATCCCCTCCAAAGCCTCATAGAGCAAAAAGAGGCGGAAAGAAAAGGCAGATGTCAGTTAGTAGCTCAGAGGAAGAAGGGGCATCAACACCAGAATATACTAGCTGTGAAGATGTGGAGATAGAAAGTGAAAGTGTCAGTGAAAAAGGTAAGGACTTTTCTGTATATTATGCACATGGCCATGGTTTGGGGAAAAAAAAAAATCTGTATTTTTCTTTCTCTTTTGCCTCTTTTTTAATCATACACCTTTCTATTTCCCCTTGCCTTTCTTTTTCCCAACTGAGAAGTGTCTTATGCCTGATACATTTGCTTTACAATGTTTCCTTCTACATTCTTAGATGAGGTGGTAACAGATAGCATCAGTTGATGAGTTTCTTTTTCATTCTCTTCTCTCTTTCACTTAGAACTGACAGAATTTAAGGGTTCCAGTTTACTTTCTCAATGATATCTGTACTTCTTTGGTCATTGCTTCATTCATTTGTGTGTATGTAGAATAGTTTTCTATGGATTAATTGAAATGAAGAGTGAGTTCTGTAAGAGGCAGAAAGACCATTTTAAAGTGTCTAATCTTATCGACATCTCAGTTTTAAGAGATGCAAATTTTTACTACGTTCAGTAAATTATCAAAAATCTGCCAGAGTTCATTGTTAATAAGGACAAGATGTGGGACAAGGGGAGTGTTATGTAGGAAAGAAATGAGAATTAGCGAAGTTGTCTAGATGAATGTTCTTCCAAGCTAACAAGTATGTTTAAAATCTGTTATTTCAGTTTGTCTTGCTCTGTTGATGGTAACACTCAGCAATAAGGAATAGGTTGTAGTACACTGTGTGCTTTTAAACAAAGCCTTTCTTCTGGCTGAAGAAGGGAATCAAATTCATGAACGGTGAATAAGCATTGTCAGAAAAGACTATGATAGAATTTAGCAACTGTCTTATAACCCTACATTGTCTTTAAGTGGTACTACAGTGAGCTGAAAGCTCTTTGTGTCTTTGGAAATAGCTTTTAGTTCTCTAGTTTAATTACTTGTGTTTGTAACTTGAAAGTTTTCTGTTCATATTCATACTGAAAATGCCAAAGGCTTTGTCTGCCTTGCCTTTTAGCTCCTGGCACTTTCCTGACATGTCTTTAATTCATATATGCTGACCTGTCTGTCTGTCTTTATCTGATGTTGTGGTCTCCTAGCATCCCCTAAAGTTCCAGGTATACAAATAAGAGAGACAACATTTCTCTCCTATCCCATCTGAATAGTATGTTTTAACTTTCTAAACATTCCATTTAAAATATGGAAGCTTGCTTTTCTGCTCATTTTTAAGGAGGGATGTTGATCATGCCCTGAACTCTTATTCCAGATTACACTAAGAAATAAAAATCCTCTCCCTTTTTGTGACTGGGAGTTTGATCAATTAGTGGAATGTATCACACGGAGATGTTGCAGAGATGCTTGAATCCTAAATGGAGAAGTCCCTGTGTAATCTGATCTGCTGACACAACTTTTGAGGATGGGTTTTTGAACTAGGGACCTACAGAGGACCCTTCCAGTCTCAACTATTTTGTCTTTCTAAGAGAACACATCTCTTTTCCTTATTTTGTGGCAGTGTTTTATGTTGACATTTGGATTTGTGGCATTTTCCCTGACTCCCTCAGTTGGTAGTAACAGTCTGTAATATAGCATTTATTTTCTATCTTTATCTTTTGCTTTCATTATGTTTATCAATTTGAGGTTGCTTATGAAGTAGAAAAGATTTCCCATATTCAGTGTAGGTTATCATTTTAAATTGCAAGGTTGTTGTTGTGAAGGTCAAGTCCAGCATGAAAGTCACTGGTATCAATATGTTGATATAGTTTGTTTTATAATGGTCCTTTGTAAGTTAAACCTTTCAATAGTTGCTTTCAGGACTTTAAATGTTGCTAAAGGCTTAAGTTTTCAATAACTGAATCAAGTTTTTGGTTACCTCTGAGACATACATTTCATCTCCCCTTTAGACAGTGAAGACCTTGGTTTGTATCATATCAGAGTGCTACCTCACTTTATTTGAATAAAAGTTATTAATAGGAGTGTTAGGGACCTGCCTGACCACTGCCAACTCAATACTTGATTAACATTGTTGAGCATTCCTTGAGAACTTATATCTAATTGTCAGTAAGCTAGCACTGTGTTATTGATCAGGTTATAAATATATGTATATATAAATATATATATATATATGAGGAGGTATGCAATGCATTAAATGCATTAATTACAAAAGTATATTTTTAATTTTAATAGCTGTGAGATGTAGCTGTTAATTTTTTTGCCTCATTTTCAATATGACTTTTCATGTGACAAGGATTCCGTGACAAGTGGAAAGCCTTTGGAAGTGTGGGGGCTATAGTACCTAAAAAGGAGCTAGGAGATGTGAATACAAATGAGAAAGCAGAAGGATTTTTCATAGTAAAGTACCCAGTTATATTTACAATTAAGTTTTCAGCAGTACTTGAACTAATACTCAAGTATTTCCTAAGAATAGATGGAAAAGCAAGAAATTTTATCACCTGAGGAAATACTTTAGAATTTCTCCTATATTCTAAAAGGAAATATGCTACAGTAAAAAGATGTAATGTTAAAAAAAAAGTAAATAATTAAAAAATACCTCTATTATAACCATGGTCATAACACCATTCTTTACAATTTAGTAGGATATTTACAAACCGAATCTCACCTCCCACCTTCTTCAGTTATAATGCTTTAGTTTATAAGCCCAGGAGGACCTGGAATCCATCCTCTCTTATCTAAATATTAGCTCTGTCAGAAACTTGATGCCAAAGTAATATAGATGAAGCTAGAAAGATAGGATTACAGCAAAAAAATATTTTTCAACTTTGAATGGCCCCATCAAAAACCCAAAGATCTTAAAAGTAATGTTTGCATTTGGTGAGTGCCAATATAAAGCAGTCCGCAACTAGGTAATAAACATGTACTATTTTCAGTTCTATCTTGAAAAAATAAAATGGAAGTTACTATGAAAAAAAGATTACAGAGGTGTATAAAAGAAAATTATACCCGATAGAAATATAAGGCATAGATAAAGTGGTTAAGACTGTATTGAAAATCAGTAGCCAAAAATATCATATAAAGTAGATTCTGTGCAAATGTTACTTTTAAACATTGTCATTTCTTAGAAACAGCTTAGTATTGCATTACCCTGTCTTCTGAGCATAAGCAGCCTTAAAAAAAGCAAGCTACTTTAGCTAGTACATTCCCTGTTATTTCCTGTAACCATTTAATATATATTTATTAAAAATTATTAAAAAAAGGTTCACAAGCACTTGAAGATACTTTCTCTCCAAAAATAAATCTCTTTTACAATCCACCAGGATTTTACTTCTTTGGTGGAGGATCCAAAGATTTATGTCAAGTTGTTTCCACGTTGGAGGAAATCTAGAGAAAGAACTGTTTAGCAGTGTCCAAAAAGGTCATGTTAAATTTCTTTTAAAAAAATCTGCACTCTTTACAAAACACTACTACTGATTGCTGATAATCATTTTCATTCTATAATTAATTGAGGCTGTAGGAACCCTTATTCTGAAATCTGTAATAGCTGAACAATAGGTGGACTGAGTTTCCAGTGAAGTCCTGGCAAGGCAAAAGGAGTCCTCATAGAAGGCATAAATTACATTCATACTTGCTTCAAAGACATCCTAGGATAACACAAACCATACTAGTAAAAATGAAATCCAGACCTCATTTTAAAACTGAGAACAGCTTCTGCCTATTGCCATCCAGTGAAGAATGCAAATTGTATCTGGAGTAAGTTTGTGAAAAGTTGTTAAAGTTGAAAATGAAGAATTTGTGTAAAACTAGTAGATATGTGCCCAGATGACTTTGTACAAAATTTCTTTTATCCCATGATAGAAGAGATATTCTAGAGTTCTGTCATGAAGTCTTTGAAAGATAAAATAATGTTGGAAATTGGAGCAATGTGAAGAGGTACTGAAAGCTCCTGCTGTACTTTTATGTAAATAGATGTGCTAATGGTTTTACATTTTGCATACTTATTGTTTGTATTTGCCTAAATGTGTATTTTGTTCACACTGTTTAGGTTTGAAAATATTTCTAACACTCACATACTGTCAGGAAAATGTTGAAAAGCTAAGTAAAACTCACTCTTACATACTTGCTAATGGGTTTATTTGGGAGTGAGGAGAGCACGATACAGTTGGCGCCTTGTTTGAAAAACGACCTCCTGAGATGACTTTCTGGTTTCTTTCACTGAAGGTGTGATTGTTTCATTCATAGTGTGTTTCACACTGTACTGTGAGGAACAGGGCGACCCAGTTTCATTTCATTTCATTCTGATGACGTTAACTTCTGGTTAGAAAATGTTATGGGCAGGCATCTTGTTGTTTTCTAGGTTTATGCCCAGGTGTGAGGCAGGAAGGTTGTGAGCAGGAGGAGAGGACAGGGAGGTCAGGAGTAGAGGTTTGCAAACAAAATGTCGGTGCTGGCTCAGCTCCAGGAGGAGAGGATCTGGTCCCTTTCTCCATCCTCTTCTATTGTTCCTGGTGTCACTTTGGACACTTGTGCTTAGGGGTGCTGCCAGGGGAAAGAAAGCGTTTATGAAATCTTTGCCCTGGTGATTTATTCCAAGTTCTGTATGCATTGCTGCCAAGGAAGGTAGCTTGTGAGTTCAGAGACAAACCACACACATGCAGTAGTGTCTACAAAGGGACCAAAAGAAAACATCAGGAAAAGACTATAGAGAAGAGGAGGCTGGGTTTAAATGTTTTTTTAGTTAAACTTTTTCACTAAGGTATTTTCAATCTGGAGTGTAGGCAAGTCAAGTTCTACTGCAACATCTGCTAGGATATTTTAACATCTGTTTGCATAGAGTTGGCATGGAGTTTTAAAACTGGAGCTGAATTTGTTTGAAAGTGTGGCTGAGCTTCAACTTAATGTAAAATAAAATATCCTTGCTAGGAAACTTGTTAGTTCTTAGAAATTAGTTCCAATTTATCTTCTGGTCCTTGTGCAGTAATTTAGATCTACATCTGATTCATATTTTAATGAAAATATAAGCTAAAATGACTCTAGTTTCAGAATTTTGGTCAGAGCTAACATTAATCAATGCTATCAGTATTGAGTGCTTTTGAGCAGCTGAAATTATTTAC